CTTCAGTTTAAAGCCTGCCTCACCAAGTTAGTTTAATTGGATATACTGAAATTCAACATACCTTTGTAAGGAAATTTACATGGAAGTCTGGCAAATATGCTAGTAAAACCACCAAAAAATATTGGAAGTGACAGATCATACAGATAAATTAAAACAGTAATGAAGATGTTTCAGCTCAACTGTTTGAAATCTCAACTCTTCTAGTTTTATGACTAAGGCACTATCAAATGCCTTCTGAGTCAAATTCTTACACCACTTTACTACATCACTGATACAAGTTGCTCAATTTTCTCAGGACTATGGTATCATATACTAGCATCTCTAAATCCAAGCCTTGTACTCTGGAACTAAGCTTACAGTGCTATCATTTTGTGCTTAGCACTCTTCCTGAAATAGACATTTCCACTTGCTTGAAATTATCTACAAATAATAATTATCAAAACGGAGTAAACTGAAAATTCAACAATATCTATTTTCCAACCTCTAATCTGTTGACAATTTTCTTCTTGATGGCATTCTGTGCTGCAGCATTTGTAGCAACCCGCAGTCCCTCTGCTGCTTCTCTCAGACGCTGCTGTTGATCCTCATTTTCAGGATTGGCTGCAGCTCCCTGCACAAAATTTCAGAGCAAAAACCATGAACCTTAGTTAAAGTTCACAGAGGAAATGTAGATGAATATCAAGGCTTTAGTTCCAGACACTGTCTACTATATTAGCCTTTATTTTCCTTATATTATCTCAACCAAAGTTAGAACATCACTAAAATGTTACAAGAGTTCAAAGCAGAAAATGTATTGCTAGTGCAAGGTTGTTAATGTATACGTTGGGTACTTTGAGGAAAGCAGTTGAACATTTGCTTTATATACTATTTTAGGTGTTTGGGGGAAAGTCTTTGTAAACTGCTTCCACCATGATATGTAATAATGTACTTTGATGAAGGTAGGTTTTGAAAAAAAAAAACAAAACCAAACCACAACCAGTTTTTAAAATTCCCAATTAAATATGCCTTTCAGTAACTGCTGTTCAAACCTTGAGACTTAACACTGTAGGTTTTCTCTATTTGAAGTCTGAGAAAGTACTGGAAAGTCAAGGATATGCTCTGTAGCCAGGCATATGGGTCTTCTAGAGCCCTAGCAGAATGGCTGGCCCTGACTTGTAAAAATCATTTAAGTGTAGGATCTGGGAAACAATTCATATTCCTCCCTAGTAGACTTAAATAGGTTTCTAGCACAAAAAGGAATGAAAAGGTTAGATATTTGCCTCTCTTGTAAGAGCAGAGGGGTGGCAGGGAACAACACAAGCAAGATTCCCCATGTGGAGGAAACTGTTCCTCAGACAGAGTTGCTTTGTTAATGGCTTTTCTAAGAGATATTTGTAAGAGATTGCTATGGTTTGGTCATTCCATTTGTATTAGCAGACTGGCACAAGGCTTTGCTTCACAGTGGTTATGGCTGGTGATAACTGCCCTAGGTGGCTTGAGTCATGACCACCCTGCACACAGGTGAGCAAAGCAGTGCAAGAAGGGGTTTTAAACCCCCAAAATCCAGGTAACTAATAAATTATTTTTTTTTTTCTGAATGTACCTAGGATAAGTCACTAAATGTAGAACATTTACAGGATAAGAAAAACCATCTCTACTATCAAACAGGTCCCATCTATAATATCTCACATACCATTTCTTCTTTTTGTACAATCATATAATTTTAAGCTGACAGTTAGTTCGTTTTCCTAGTACCTTTGCAGCTTCAACCATGCGGGCTGTAGAATCTGCCAGGAGTTTTGCAGCAGCCAGAAGCTTCTTAGAGTTGTCCATGTCGATTTCTGCTTCAGCATCTGACCTCATGGCATTGACGAGATC